TTGTTTTGGTAATAATAATAATAAAAAGAGGCGAAATAAAAGTAGATATAAAAAGACAAAACTATGTATCGGAAGATGACGAAAGAAATGTTTAGTTTGTTTTGGTAATCTATCATATAGGGAGGCGAAATAAAAATAGATGTAAAAAGATAAAATTATGTATCATGAGATGACGAAATAAATGTTTAGTGAAAATATGTTCGAAAAGAATTTTTTGACTATATTTCAGAAAGATATATGCATAAGACTTACATAAAATCTTTTAGATCGCATTCACTATTTAAAATAAATTAGTTTCCATAAAATACATGACATGTCTTATTGGACCGAGTTATCATGTTTAAAATCGAGTTAATTCGTTTCACCATGTAAACATTACTATATATGAAATAGGATAAGGGCATTCATGACTGGATCAAACATTATCTTATTGGAATATTTACTTGATTTTATGGATAAAGCATCCTCAAACTCATTGTAACATCATTAGTATTTCGTTCATACCTTTAAAATAAATGATACTTTATATTTGACACATTCACATTTAATGTGGAGTTGCGTTACTATTGAGTCAATGATCAACATTAACGTTTCCTAGAAGATGTCCTTATAATACTTTAATCTAAAAAGAAGTTTCTCTGAGATAAAGAATCATGAGATGGTCACCAAAGTTGTTTCCTCTTCCCACAATGTTTCTAATTTACTTTGATTACCACATGACACTTACAAATTTATTGCATTTCAAAAAAAAAAATTAACAATATATATGTTATATATCGCTTGATAAAAAAATATATATACAAGTATGTATATAAATCTTTTTGTTTAAAATGATTATATTGATATTCAATAATTTGTACTGTTAATAGTTTAAAATTAAATTAAAAAATAGGGAGTTCTCACTCCATCAAAAGTGTCCACATAGACAAAAATATTTTTTAAAATATTTAAGTTTTAAAATGGCCATTTACTACACACTAAATCATATTTATTGTTTTTATAACTAATAAAATACTAATTTAGATTAAAACGTGAAAGACTAAAGAAAATGAATGAAAATGAAAATTAATAAATACAAAATTATACATAATTTTATTAGTAATGATAATATGAATTTGTTTTACCAACAATATATACTACACATATAAAGAAAACTAAATTTTTTTAATTTATAATTGAAATTATTAGTAAAACTCAACTGACGTAATAAAAATGTTAAGAAAAAACAAATATTTTCAAGATTATTTAAGAGTTGTATATTCTATGAAATATGAAATGTTTCTTCTTATTAAGAATTTTGTAGTTCAATAAAAACAAAATCTTACATTCAGTCACACATTAGGAAGACCAACGTTTAAGAAATAGTATACTAAATTCTAAACTATTTTACTACGATGAACAAAAACCAAAATATACATAAGCTTATAAGACGAAGATAAATGTCAAAAAAATACATAGAACTATTTATATCCATTAAAAAGCCATTTCAAAAGGATCTACGAGTTTTTTAAATTCTGGCTAGCAAAAACCTAAATCAAACTTGAATAAGAAAACTTACACCTTACTGATGAAGAGGTAAGTTTTTCCATTCCGCGATTGAAAAGACAGTTAACAACAAGGAAGAAAGATATTCAATATCTTCTATATGCCACAATACTAAAGACACTATGAAGTACGAAGTATAAGAGAATGCCAAAGAGACATTGTGAACACATATGGAAACCACTTATGATTGATATAAAGATAAATTAGAAAATGATTGATAAATTTTATCCTTAAATTCGTAATCGGTTATTTAGATAACATGATTTATCTAATAGCCAAATATATGTACATAACAAAGTTAAACTAGTAAATTTTAAATGGTAATTTTGATATTTTCATACTAACATTAAAACTAATTCAAAACATTTATTTATTTTATTTCAAATCATATGTTATTTTATATTTATAAAACTTAGTTGTTTTTATC